AAATTAAATTAAAATTAAAAAATAATAAATAATAAAAATCAATATATTTTATATTTACTTCATATTTAATATTTAGTTACTTAAATTTATATAAGTTTAAGATAGCTATTTACAATTAGATGGAACTTGGTTGTAATAATAAATATTATTAAAAATATATACTTAAAAATATATACTTAAAAATATATTTGCAAGTTATGTATATAATATGTTAGGTTCAAATATATTATTTTAACAAATAAAATTTTGAAGGTCAATATTCTAAAATAAAATTTAGTATCTTTTGAATTAAAGAACGGAAATTTTTAATTGAATAAATTTTTGTAGTTAGATATTTTTTATAAATACTAAAATTTTTATCACTTCATATATTAAATTTGAAATATATATTTATTTTTCAAATTTTTATATATAGAAAATTTTCTATATATATTTATATTTTAGGAAATTTACTATATATAAAAAGCATAATACTTTAATATGAATATAATTTATTAATAAAAAAATATTCATAATAAAATTTGGCAATTATAAAATAGGTATTTGCAACACTTTTACATAATATTTATAAATTAAATTTAGCATTAATACATATTTTGTGAAACTTGAAATATATACATATAATTATAGAATATTAAACATCATGTGGTATCTCTGGTATCATTTATTATTCAATCTTAAAATCTTTATAGTTTAAAAAAAATTATATATCATATTTATAGGTTTGTTAATGAAAATATTTTTAATTTTTAAATAAAATATATATAAAGTAAAATTTAAAGAAGAGATATATATATATATATATATATATTAGATGCTTGAAGGATAAAATATTCATTTGAAACTCCAAAATATATGCACCATTTTATGCTTTATGTAATGCTATGAACAAAGATTAAAGTGACTAAGATGATAGATAATAATTTTTCAAACTTTAATAGCTGTATAGATATACTGTTAAAATAACTAAATAATTAAACAAATGAAAAAAATAAAATACAAAACCGTATAACTAATCCACAAAGATAATGACATCTTTTATTCAGACCAATATAAAACTTTCAATACAAAATATTATAGCATTGTAAGTACATACATATTAAAACTAACAAATATTATTCATTATTAGCATAACATAAGTTTATTTTGATCAAATACATACAAATTTCTTTAGAATTTAAAAATTCTTGTAATATTTTTGTTGAATAATATTCTAAGATTTTAACACTATTTATATGGTATGATAAGATTAAAGATAATACTGAGACATTAATAAATGCCTCATGTTTGCACCAATTCTAGTGCATGCAAAAGAATAATCATTTTGATTTATTCATTTTTCTTTAAAACTTTAAACTATTGCAATAATAGAAATTGTGTCTTGTTGTAATTTCAATAAATAATTTATTTCTAAATTAATTAGTTATAAAATCTATGATAAAAATTTAAAAGTGGTTGATATATTTGATGAATGGCACCATTTATGTCATGAGATTATATCTGCAAAAATAACTCTTATAAATTATAATAACCTCAAGTATTACTTTTTATCTTAATTTAGAAAAATAACATTCACAGCAATAGATTAATCTAGTTTTACTTTGCAATTATAGAATTTTATAATAACTTTGATAAAGAACCGAAATCCAATTTTTGTAGATCATTGTCGGTTTCTAAGAAAAGAAATATAATATAGGAACAGTAAAAAGTTGTTTTTATTTCAACCAATTTATTCAATATAGAATACAAAATTAGTATGATTTATTTATTTAAAAAAACTAGAAAAATTTATATGTAAGTTATTAAATAAATATATATATATATATATATATATATATATATTTATAAATCACAAAAATAATGTTTTTAGATTAGATGATGAATTATTTTACTCCAGAAGATTGTTGTTGGTACCTGCAGGACTTTAATTCTCCAAATTATTCAAATACATCAAATTGAGGTGTTTCTTTGATTTCTAATTTTAAGAATAAATCAATACTAGATCTTTAAAACTTATTGGTAGTTTTGAATATACAGCTTTGTAGAAATATTTGTTTGGTTTCAAATTACATGCCTACAATCAAGATTCTACAATTCAGACATAAATCATGTAAGATGCTCTAATAAATTGCCTCTTTAATATAACTGAGGTAATTTTTTTCAATAACTTATAAGCTCTAAGTTTTCAGCTCTTTTAATTTATAAAGATGAATGCTCAATTTTAGTAATTGTCATCAAGTTTACTATAATGGTGGACTTTGTCGTATGCATCACAATAACAAAATTGTGAGAATAAGAAATCAAGATTTATTTATTTTCGTATGTGTTACTCTAGTATATTTTTAAAAAATATAAACATAGATTGTATATTTGGATTGTATCCAATTATTTTACATTTTGTACATTGGTATCAGTTCTATTTCAAAATACTATCAACAAGTAGAAGGTTAAACTAAATTTAAAAGTAAGTCTGTAACTGGTATCTTTGTTGTAGTGAATTTCAAAACAAAACTAATCACACAAATTACTAATTACTAAAAAATGACATCTTGTAAATTGCGGCACACAGTTATAAAAGAAATACAGAAAATATTTCAAAAACAAAAGTGTAGAGGCCATCTTATAATACAAATTATTATAAACTAAAGTAGTAGATAGCCAAACAACATATAAATTATCTAAATGATTTGTTGCCATCTTCAATGTGCCTCTACTTTATCTACAAAAATGAAAAGTCTAATATTTGATAAAAAGTTCATCCAAATCTTAATTCAAACCACACTTAGATTTTAAATTAGAATATCAGAAATAATTGTTTGAAATAAAATGTAAAATGAAAAGAATATTCATAGATTAAGCTTATCTACCAAATAATGAGTAACTTTGCAGTTATCTACTAAATAACTTTATTCAGTTTCTACTTCAAACTCTCATTTTTATTTGCAATTTTTTTATAATTATAATAGTGATACCTATAACTTTTCTTTCAAAAACGTACTGTATAATGTATTTTGAAGAAGATCACTTAAAACCAATTTCTTAATACAACTCATGAATAAAATTATTTGTAAAAAATGTCATCTTTGATTTATATTTATATAACAGAAATTAAATGTTTTATGATAAAAACTATGAAGAAAGTGATCTTAAAAATTAAGTATAAAATCATAAGAATCATTGTGCCAATCAACTATGGAATTTATAAATAATACTCTTATAAGTATAAAAAAAATAAATAAAGAATCATTGTGCCAAATCATAAGCATCATTGTGCCAAATAATTGCTTAACTCAAAGCAAGATAAAGACGATTCTATGTAAAGACTTTAGGAGCAATATATAGTGATCAAATCTTAAGCATGGTGGCCATATTCATGTGAAAGATTTACCAAAATAGCGCCATATTTTACATATACAGAGACCAAATTTATAAAAGGATTTCCTCCTTTATGCTATTTATGTTCCTAATAAGAAATATGGATTGTAATACACAAATTTTGGTTATACCAAAAAGTGAGAAGAAGATGGGAAAAGTCACTTTTACTGAAACATAACTTGTTTTTAGGACATTGTAGTTGGAAATCTTAGAAAGCATTCTCAAGAGAACAAGCTATTTTTGCATTACAATTAGCCCATAGGTACAAAAATTTCAATTTCATTTAGACATTACTATGTAGCCTACACATGTGATGTATCAAAAATAATGTAATGCAAATGTTTTTGACAACAAAGTTTGAAACAATGTACATATACAATTTTTTTTAATGTGCACAAGAACACCAAATTTCATTATGTAAATCACAAAAATAAGAAAACAAATTACCAAACGTTAGTGTCAATTTTGACAACAAATGAGATGGGAAAAAGATGGCTAGAAAAATAGTAGGAAATGAAGGTACGAATATAATAAGATGGGTCTTTAGGATCACATTCAATAGCATTATAAAATGAAATCCTTTAGCCCCTTAGTCCACATACAGAAGCAGTCTTTTGCATATGAAAAGGTCTTCTGCTTGTCCTATAGGGTGTAAAAAATATTGATAATGCAAGCTCCAACTAACTTTAATGAGCAAAGGCAATTGGCTCCCTTTGTATGCATCAATACACACAAACACTGGAACTTCAAAATAGAAATGGAAAAAAGAAAAGAATAAAAAAAAAATGAAAGTCACAACTCCTGCTCTGTGCATGATGCGCTTTGGGAGCACTAGAAAAGCATGGACGTCTCACCCTCTCGGAAACGAATTTCAAAAAATAACAATCATAACAATAATAAAAAAAAGTGAGTTTGTTTTGTTGTTTTGTGACGAAGTCTTCGACTGGGGATCACCGAGAAGGCGCCCCCAAACAACGCGGAAAAAACCATCTCTTTCACACTAAATTAAAACTCTAGAAAAAATAAAGCATACTAGTGTGTGTAGGTGCCCTACAGTACCACCTCGGAAAGTCCGCCCTAAAACTCTCACTTTTTCAACGCGCAGATAGAGCCACATTATTATTTGTTACTATTGCGCGTCACCCCCCCCCCAACCACCCAAATTAGAACTTTAAAGTCAAACATCCAAGCGGACGCACATACTGTTCATCCAGAAGCACAAGCCTTTTCATCTTGAAGCGGATGAGGTGATACTTTCATCCAGAAGCTTCCAGAAGGCAGTGGTGTGACGATGAGGAGGAGGAGGTCAGCGTCGCTCGCAACAACCGAGGGTGGGGGCAGCGCGAGAGTCGTGGTGTGAGGCGGGCACGGGATTGGAACTCACGAAAACCGAAGCCACCCACAACAAAATCACGCCGTGATTTGGGAAAATAACACGGGTGGAAACGGGTGATGATGGGTGGTGGCGACGGAAATCGGGCGGGCGGTTTCGGGTGCGGGAATTCCCAGTTTAGCGTGCGGCGTCTGCAGGGGACGGCGATGGTGCGGCCACGCAACCCCCCCACCACCCCCCCCCCCCCCCGGGTTTGATTCCAGATCTCCCGCCGCGCCTCGAAGGCTGTCTTGTATGCCAGGATTTGGTGAGGATTTTCCAGGGGATTTTCTTTGATCCTATCTGATTTCGAAAACGTGGCGGTGGTGAAACCCTCTTTTCACTGTTCGTATCGGTCCATGTTATGGATGCTTCTCGCCATTGTGGGTGTTAGGACCTGGCGTTGGAAGCCAACCTTGGAGCGGGGGTTGTTGTGGCGACTTTGGGTCACGGTGGATGGTGAAGTGGGTGATTGGTTGAAAATCAAGTTTTTCTGGGGAGGGGGGTTTCGTGGTGCGTTTTGTATACATGGGTAGGATCGGTTTGTAGAAGGATTACGCGAAAGGGTTTCGGCTTGGAAGGACGCGCGTGTTGGTGAAGAAGGAGGGTAGCAGGTATGGCGAGTCTTGCGTTAGGAGGAGACGAGGAGAAGGAAGTACGTTTGGGGCTGGAACGGTCGATATACGAGGTGTGCAAGCGATCTCCCGAAGGTTCCGACTTCCTCGTGTCAGCCTTCGTTCAAGCGTTGCACAGCTACCGCCGCTCTTCTGGTACGCCCTGTGCTCTTTGGTAGAGAGTGGGTTGGTAACATGGATCGGTTGCGACCTCTTGAGAGCTGTCTCGTTGCTTGGCTTTTTCGAGTAGGCTTGCATGTCTTAGCAGTGGGCTAATTTGCGTTTTGTATTTATTTTACAACATTTGTGGACGTCTGTGCCAGGAGTTACAGAGAGTGTAGAATATCTGAACGTCGTGCAATGGGTGGGCACAGTGGACGTGAATGTGCACGTCTTATAGTTTTGGCAGATTCTATTTTATCATAAGTTTCACCCCTACTTGCTTGCTGCTTTGGTTCGTGATTGGTGTTGGATGCTCTTGTTTTCGGTCTCTGAACATGCACCTTTGTTTTGATGCTTGTCCAACAGTCTTGACTCCTTTTCCTTCGGCACTTTTTACGACCGAAGATGACTTCAAGGATAAAGACTTCGCCGCAGCTGCTGCTGCTGTGCAGTCTTTTCCGCCACTGCAAGATATTCTTTCTTGTTGGACTTGTCATGTAAACGGCCTTTCTTGCGGTCAATCAGCGAAGGATGATGCGGCCGGCTCAGTGCAATGCCTGTACAGTGTCGGCAAGATGTCCCTCAGTGCTCTAAAATTGCTCGATTGGATTTTGCGATATCGACATGGCATTGCAGTGGTGCAAGACCCAGAGAACGACCTTTCAAGCCTCTTCCCGCCAGCATCGTCTCCTTGGGCCCGTTACAGACGGGGGGTGGCTTCCGAAGCATGTGCTGTTCCAGATTATGTTATGAAGGTGAGTTAATCTCGTCTCTTTCCACCCATCACTACTTCGCTCAAGATTTTCTAGATGTTTCGTAATGGCTTCGTTAAGTGCAATGTCGAAGGTGGTTTCTGCTGGGGTTTTGAGATGTGTGTCCCATGTATTGATGTCGCTGCCATGTCGCAGATTCAGGAGAGTAATGAGGATTCGTGGAGGACACGAGCGTCAACCTTTGAATCTGTCAAAGCGGAGTTCGGCAGCTTTCATGCTTTCCATGGGACTTCTGCCGAAAATTTGCACAGTATACTTCGGTGTGGTAAGCCTCTCGCATCCTTCTGCATTAGTGTAGGCTCAACACGTTGTTGTGACATAACTATTTCTTTATGCCCCTCTTCCCGAAAATTATGGCATCATTAATCGTGGTTCTTATTGCAGTACACTTAGTATTTGAATAATCTCCGTGCTTTGTGTTCTTACGGCCTTTTTTCTGCTGTTTGTGACCTGACAGGACTATTGAACATGAGTAATTCGCAACTTCAACGAAATGGATGTATATTCGGGGAGGGCGTTTACCTTTCTACAGATCCTGGAGTTGCCCACAGCTTCTGCAAAGCAGGGACAGGCTGGACTCACTCTTTTTGTGGTTCGAGAGTCAGATATGTACTGGTTTGTGAAGTTGCAGGGAAATACACATTTCGGTCAGATTCAACTGCGCTCAAGACCGGCTCTTTTGCTGTCCAAGATTATCCTTCTACGTGTAGGGAGGAGAGCTCGACTTCGAACTCTGTACCAAACACTTATGTCGTCGTAAAGAACAGCGACCTCGTGAAAATTCGTTATATTTTTGTTTACACTGAACCTTCAAGAGTGCAAATTACCTTGCGATCGTCTTCGTTTGGCCCATTAGGCATCTTGCCAGAGGTGTTAGGAACACACGGTGTTGCATCGGAAAGGTATGTGTCCAAGCTAGGATTTGTGGATATGTTGAAGAAAGTCGACTGGTGCAGGACATTCATTGTATTGTACATTGTTGTGCTGATCGGAGTGGGGCTCCTGAAGCATAACACCGGCAGATACGGCCGAGGCTCATTTGTTCAGCGATTCTTCCCTGTCTACCAATGACACACTGCCTGCCTGCCTGCCTCCCTGCCTGCTAGATACGAGAAAGTCGAAGCGTTTTTCCCAGATGCACCTCCCTGAGTGATCTGGAAGGAATTAGATGGATTCATTTACCGTCGTCTGAAACTATGAACCGATATACATATTTTTGCGCCCAGTTTTTAAGTCTGGAGCCCACTTGAGTAAATGACTTGAGAGTGGCATTTCCATGGCAGGTGCCTGGGTGTTTTGTCATCAGAACAAGGTGATGTTCTTGTATGTGGGACAGACAACGTTGTATATAAAGCTTACTTGTCATTTTCCTCAGCTTCATGAGGTCTTGCCTTGAGGAATCATCGTGAGACGTCTACATTTTGCTTGTATACACTTGAACATTTCCCAACATCTGGAATGAGCATCTAAACATTTAATGCACATGACAGATTGATGTAGTCTATTAGCTACTTCTATCATGCTTACGGGTAAGTTCAATTGGACTTGTGGGTGCAATGCAAGATAACTAAGTTTCAACGAAGTCTCATCTGTTCCTACCATTGTTATCTTGCATTCCGAGTTTGTCTAACTTTACAATCAATTCTGACTTTCTGTTAACGATAGGATGCGACGTGAGTGGGATCTTACCAGGATCTCAACACTGTCCTCATCCGGGCATGTCGGTCTCAAAGGGATTCCAAGCTTATCCCCTGCTACTTAAAGCGACCTTACATTGTTGGTAGCATTAACTCAACTCTTGTCTGGTCTGACACTTTTCAGCTTAGGTTGAGCATTTATGGTACATGATTTCCAAGGAGAATAATCAACTCTTAAATAGTTTAGAATGTTTACAAACTTGCACTGGTTTTAATTTTTAAAAAAACTTCGTACGAATCACTCTTAGCTTGTCCGATTGAAAATTTTACAGTTGACTTTGGCATTTGGAAGTGGATCAACGTTCCCCATTGTCTTCGGAAGATGAAATCCTATAAAAAAGTGCTCGTGAGTGAATTTTGTCGTGTTTCAGTTATCGCCCTAAATTGTTGGACATTTTTTGTTCAACCAGATGATCATAATATGATACGTGCACTACAATATTTTGTTTTGTTGCAGTCGTTTGTACATTGCTTGGTGCAGAACATTATGCTGGATCATGGAACTCAGTCGTTGATTGCAAAGAAATTTGAAAACTAAAAATGAAGGGTGATTGTTGAGTGAGACGGTGTGGGCCTCGACTGGCGAGTGAGGATGGAGTCCGCAAAATCCAATTAGGGAGACCTAGCGGAACAGTCCGCCGCACTCACGAGCCGCTTTGCACACACTGTGAAGGGAGCACTTGCTGCCCAATCTGCTGAGCAAAGAGTTCACATGATTCAATCGTTCGTTGCAGTGCAATAATTCTATTGCAAAGTACCTCCAAAGATACGCATCTTTTGAAATCAAGGAGGAACCAAAGGGTGGTGGGGTTAGGGCTGTGAGCCTGTGGCCGTGCAGATGATGTTTTTGTTTATTTTATTCTGACTTACGCGGTGTGTGTTCGTACGGGTATAATGAAGACCTATGCGGATCTCGTAAGAGGGGAGTGACGGACGGAGTCTAGACGGGTGCGACAGCTGGACCCAAGCGACGGATCCGTAGGCACAGAGGAGGCATTATCAAGCGTCCTCACACATCATCCAAGCTCTAATGGGTCGCTCCACTCAATCAAGGCGCAACCTGGTGAGGATCTACATGAGGGGTACTTCCGCAGCTACGCAGGGTTCCTGCTGCGGGAGACCAACCGCGTCGTGCAAGTGGATCAAGCCGTGGTTAAACAGGAAATAGATTTCCTCTCGAATTTTGTTGCCATTGCGTATTTTGTGGGAGGTAAGTCCCCCGACTTCCAACTTCGATAATGGTTCACTGTTGCAAGTACAAGTTCAGGGCTCTTTGACTTTTGGCCGCAACTTGGGCAAAGACTTTTTCTGAGTTAAAACAAACAATACAGAAACCTAGAGGAATCTCTTATTGGCGTGTCGACACAAGGGCTTTGTATTTTCCAGAAATGAGCCTCAGGCTTCGACCCCTTCTCGGAGCATGGTTGCTCTGCTATGGGGCAGGCTTCCGGTATGAAAATTCCCACGTGGGTTACATTGAGACAAGTCGCAGATGAATTTCGAGGAATTTCCCAGCAAATCGCGGAAGGGATAGGAGAGCTGCTGCCGGTGGATATAACGACGAAGGATATCGACGACCCCAGGTTCTGTTTAGCACTGAATTCTAGACTGGGGTGGGAGCCCTCAGTCACACTGTACAAAAAGAAAAACTGAAACTAATGTGACAATTCTAATAGATTACAACTATCTGCCCATCCGATGCCGTTACTGCCTCAACACCCAGCATCGAGTCCGCGCCTGTCCCGCCCGTTTGGTGTCCAGAAAACTACGTTGGACCACCACGTGCTCACAGCTTCAACACACAAGCGGAAGGAAACCAGCCCGAGGGAGTGTAAAACCCTCATCAGCACCAGCCTCGCATAATGTGCGTGAACTCCAGCCGGCCACCCCAAGCCTACCAGATGATGATGGGTTTCAAGTTTACGTTCCAAAATATGGACGCAAAGGGTGCGCACGCCCTACCCAGAAGTCGAATTGGGACATAGGATCCATAGGGAACATATGTCACCCCCAGCTAGACTCGCCAACGCAGTTTCGCAGCCCTTCAACTCAGCAGTCCCCAACGAACCAGAATGTTCAACTCCGAAAACCATAGATCAACGCTTTCAGCCTAATAAAGCCACCACCCCTCGAGTACCTGTGGAGACCACCCCCGGCCTCATGGAAAATATGCAGTGGTCCCCGTACTAGATGTCGGGTCGGAAACGTACTTCCGAGCCCATATGCCTAGACTCCTCCTCAGCCTCGCACAAATCAGCAGCCTCTACTGAACTCATTGATCCACGCCCAGGACCGGAGCGTCAGGATCTGAACACACTACCTCCAAAAATCGATAACCAAAGCGAACAGGCTTCCGGCGAGTCATGCTCCATAGCTTGCACTCATGAGCTCCATCAAAAGGAAAGGCACCTACACCGCGGTCAGTCTGCTGCGGTCAATCCTCCCGGACGACTGACCTGGGACCCTATTCAGGTTCACTAGGCTCTCCAACCAGCGCTTTCAACCACCCCTCGATCGTAACCGAGCAACTGGGCGGTCCCACAACAAGGCGATACGTCCTGCTTATCAAGCGACAAACAAGTCCTTGTCACAGCCCTAGAACATGACTCACCCCTCAGGACCTTGGTGGAACGCGACCCAGAAGGGTGCTGGTGACCCTAATCTGCCCCCCAACTAGCGGACAGCGGAGGAAGGCGTCGACTACAAGAACACTGCGCCAACGCTGCACCTTATGCGAATGGAGTCTTTTGCTCCAGAAGGGAGATAGACTTTAGACGACCGTGCAACAGGGATGGGTCGAGGCCCGTCATCCAGATCTGCATCTCGCCCCAGCCCGCACTAGCCCTCACCCAATTCCTTCCTTGGTCATGAAATTATGCCTCATTTCACATAACGCCCAAGGGTTTAACAACGCGGTCGCTACGCAGAAAGTTTGCAACTCCTTCTAGAATCACTTTCGACATATGGAGGTCCTATGCCTACAAGAACACAAACTTCGTGGGCGCAAGTTATCTGAACTCGGCCCCAAAATCTGGAGACACACCACATTCTTCAGCTGTGAAGCGTCCCCCGGCTACAACCAAGTAGACGGACAGGATGGCACGGGTGGAGGGAGGATCTGTATGTTCATCTCCCCCCGAATTCACCACCTGATTGTTAGCCATCGGATAGTGGGTGCCAACATGGCCCAGTGGGTGATCTTTCGCGGCTATCAAGGTGGGGATGTGGCGGTCCTCAACGTGTACACACCCCATACATCGCAAGAGCAAATCCTCCCATGGCAGGAATTGCTCCGACTTCAAGGGTGCTACTGGGTGGTATGCAGTGATAGGATCATGGTGGAGGCTGCTAGAATCAAGTCTTCCACATGTGATAAATTGTTATCCGGCAGAGAAAAAGAAGAATTTCATCTGCTTAAGTCACATCTATAGATTTCAGACTCTTTTGACTACACCGGCCTCCTTTTTTCACCTGGGACAACCGGCGCAGCGACGGTTTGAAGATCATTGCCCGTCTAGATAGTGTGTATTTATTCATGAACACATAAGGGACCCCAGGCCATATGGTGTCTAAGTACAAGATACTAGCGACTCCAACCTCTCGGACCACCTGCCCGTGAAATTCACCATTGAACTTCCAGTGGACCGCGAGACAGGAAGCCGCTACAAAATGAGCAGCAAGTACTTGGATGATCCACGCATCCACTGGTCGACTTTGACAATATGTAGGATAATTACAAAATCTTATGTACTAGAAAAGGATTCCGAGTAGACTGGGTACAAGTTAGCCCGGCCAGGTAGTGGCAACTCTAAAGCACTATGATAGGTTCTTAGTTTCCTTCCACTTTGTCGTTAAGGATATGAGCCGCCTGTATTTTACTCTTTAATGCAATTGAACAAAGTTCGATTTGTGCCAAAAAATAAAATAAAAATAAAAATGAAGATTATTTATGTTATAATACAGTAAGACATTGTAATGGATATATAAGTAATGAAAACTTTAAAAGTGTTCAATTTACATCACAGAATGCATACTTTTGGTAAGCTATTTAGATTGATAATTAACATCTAAATGATGGAGATTTTATTGTCAGCTGTTTGTTTTCTTACACAATTTTAAACATGTAATTATAATAAATATGGAATGAAAAAAAAACACAGTTGTTGCTGCATCCATTTTGTATTGCTCTGCATTGCCATTAAAACATAAAATTGATTCAAAACATTATATTGTAAGCAGTTATTGATATATTGAGACTAAACCAAAGAAAATTCATTTAAAGGCAAGAAATCATAACAATTTAATTTCTTCCTTGAGTTAAGTGGGACATTTTTGCAATATAGATTGATAATTTAAAGGATTATTAATGTTGACGGAATTAGGTGAGAGGCCTTAACTTTTTAATGTTTTGATTGGTAAAAATTAAGAAGTCTTTTTAATAAAGCTTATATACAACTGATATAATTCTATAAGGTTTATACATAGCTAAATATATCTACATGAATACTATCATCATTCAATATTATAACTTACAATGAAAGATTGTAACTTTGAATATTAGTACTTGCAAAGAAATTGGTCTATATTTTTACATCAATTCTTGTACTATTTTTTATGTAGTATGCTATATTATCTTTAAATGCCAATATGATTACCTCTAATTGATTAGAAATGCATAAAAAAAATCAGATATTTATCAAATT